GGGCAGGGATGAACCATGGAGCAGACCGAGTAAAATATACAGAGCGGGATTTGATGGGAGCAAATGAATGAAGGATAGAAACCAGACCGTTATTGTACTGAATGACAAGATTATCGGGAGTAGAGGACAAATTAGGGGTCAGGGTGGCAAAACTGGAGGACAGGGAGGCTAGATCAATGTCCTTAATATTACGAAAAGAAATGATACGTGGTGACTTGATGATGGAGAGACGGAGGGGAACAGAAAAGGAGATGAGGAAGTGGTCCGTGAAAGGGAGCGGGTCAGCTGTACAGTTGGAGGGGGTCAGGCCGGAGCAGCAGATTAAATCCAGGGTGTGACCTTTAATGTGAGTGGGAAAATTGGCATATTGATGAAAACTGAGGCTGTCCAAAGATGAGGAGAAGTCTTTGCTGAGGGGGAGGGCCATATTGTCCATATGAATATTAAAATCACCAAGTAAAATTACATTTGGGGAAAGGGCGGACAGATGGGATAAAAGAGCACAGAGTTCATTTAAAAACTCAGGGCTGAACTTGGGGGGACGATAAACAGTGACAATTATTGTGGGGGTCGGGCCAGAGAGTTGACAGGCGAGGCATTCGAGAGTGGTGAGAGGAGGAAGGCTTACAGGAAGGACCTTCCAAGTCTCGCGATAGAGTATCGCGAGACCACCGCCGCGGCCCGACCCACGTGGTTTGGAGAGGTAAACAAATCCGGGAGGAGTACAGTCATTGAGTTGTGAGAAATCGCTGGGTTGTTGCCATGTTTTGTTCAGACAAAGAAAGTCTAGCTTATGGTCACTGATGGTATCTTGGAGGAGATGTCCTTTACCAGAGAGGGAGCGAATGTTGAGAAGACCAAAATTAGCAGTGCGGAAGTCCCTGGCGACAGGAGCATTAGCCCGACTAGCCAGCCGGGCTAAGACACTGGAGTCGGCAGCTCGGCAGGTATTCCTGGGTAGCCGCCAGCGAGTAGTGGACCAGAAGGAGGGTATTCCTTTGGAGCCGTCGAGATGGAGGTTCCGCCGGGAACCCCGATGGATATACCGACGGCGAGGCTGGAAGGTGATGTCGGGGAAGAGGCACAGAGCTGGTGGTGGAGATCCGGAGTAGTGAAAGCGGAGGTTGAAGAGCTCCGCCGTCGAGTACTGGAGAAGGCCATCCACGGACAGAAGAATGAGTGACAGGATGATCCAGGCCAGTGAGAGGCACAGAGAAATCCTGCTGGACCACATTATGGAGTGGAGCAGGGAGGTGGTGACGTGGAACCAGAACACAAGCTGAGCAGGTAGGTGAAAATGAGTTTTCACCGACACAGGGATATGACTCGGGTGAAAAAGAAGAAAAAAAAACACAAAAAGTTTGTTTGCTGGCGAGCAGCGGCAGCGAGACGCGCCAGCGTTCACTCAACCGGAACCGGATAGCTATAGCTATCCCTGGATTAGTCATTGCACTCCCATAGCCCCCCAAGGATTTGTTACAATAATTTTTTTTATTTAATGTGTGGATGTGATAATATTTAACATCCAAAACAAAAATAATCAGTAAATTATCATATGGATAGTTAAAACTTAAACCAAAACAGGAAATTCATGTTGACCTTTGACCTCATCTCCCACCTGCAAACGAGTGAAAGGTAGAGCTAGCGGTAAAATGGATCAATTTTTGTTGCCCAAATTTCCACGGGTTCAGTCAGAAACGAATGAATCTTTGGAAGTGATCTCACACCAACAAAAACCTATAGATCTGGATGAAGAGAGTCAACCCTTGACCGCCGCAGTAGTCGAGGGTTTTACCGCTGGAAATGCTAACGCTAGTTAAGTTAGCACTATTAGCAGGAATCCGCAAGATCGCCCAAGAAGACCAATTCTTTCTAAATATCCGTCATGTTTGTTTGGAGTTCAACAAAGAAGTTTCAGCAAAGGTTGGCTGGATCAGTATATGTGGTTGGAATATAGTGTGAGTAAAGGTGCTGCGTTTTGCTTTGCTTGTCAGCATTTTCTAAAGGGAGGCTATGGATTTCACATGGAGCCCGCATTTATAACACTTGGCTTCAGCAACTGGTGAAAAGCAGCTGCATCTTTGAAAAACCATCACTGCAGCACTGGACACAAATTTTCTATGAAAACAAAAAGGTGGCTCAAAACTCCCAAACATGCTGGATAAGTGACATTCAATACTGGTTCAGGAGAACTGAAGGTACATGATGGGTGTGGTGGAAAGTTTGTGCTACACAGCTTGTCAGGGGATTGCACAGCGCAGTCTGATGAGGATTCAGCAAACAAAGGTAATTTTCATGAGATGTTGGATGTTATTGGAAAGTTTGATTCAACAGTCCAAAAGAAGTTGGCCACTAATCCATCTAATGCGAAGTATGTTCATCATGATATACAGAATGAGATATTTAACATAATGGCTGAAATGATAAGAAACAAATCGGCGACGAGGTGAAGGAAGCTGAATATTATGCCATTTTGGTGGAAGACGGTAAGGATATAGGCAAAAAAAGAACACATTTCTGTTCCAGACAGTGTGTTATTTGCAGCCAGAGTCAGGGAAAGTGGTGGAGGAATTTCTGCATCTTACCCCAGCAGACGGACTGAATACAGATTCACTATTTGACAGCATCAGTGTAATATTGACATGAACTCTTGCATCGGCCAGTGTTATGATGGCGCCAAGGTTATGTCTGGATGCAACAACGGAGTGCAGGAAAAGTTTTTAAAAAAAGGTGCCACAAGCAGTTTATATACATTGCAATGCTCACAGGCTGAATCTTGTGTTAGTCGACTGTGTGCGTAATGTTGTTGCAGCAGCAGACTTTTTTGAGACAAAAAATGCTTCACAGGTTTTTTTTAGGATGAGTGGTCCATGATCTTTTTCTGAAAAAACAGGATGTGCTCATGTCAGCAGTGCAGCACATAGAGCTCAAGAGACTGAGCGACACTCGCTGAGCACGTCATTATGATTCAATATGCGCTGTCAAAAAAACACTCCCAGCAGTCATGGCTACACTGTGTTAAATTGTTCAGCAGGAAAAATGTGAAACGCAGAACAGAGGCTAAAGCTGTCTGTGCACGTATAGATGAGAAGTTTGTTCTGCATCTTGTTGTTTATGAGGATGTTTTTAGAACAACTAAATTCATGTCTGATCAACTACAGTCTCACAATCTGGATCCTGTGGCAGCAGACGACCTGGCCCGTGCTGTAATCTCTGCAATATCAGAAAAGCGCACAGAAGAAAAGTGGGAAATGCTCCGAAAACAAGCTGAGGAGCTATGCATTGAAGACTGGAGCAGCAACACGGACTGCACAACGGGAGAAAAGGCAAACTCAAACAGCCAAACACCTGGAGGGTTTTATTGTGGATGTCCCAATAGAAAGAACTGGTTTTTGCAGCATGGATGACCTGAAAACACAGTCCTTCAATCCTGTTATAGACAGAATGTTAACGGAGCTCCAGCAGCGTTTTTCATCAGAAACAAACTATGTACTGAAAGGTTTGCCAGCACTAAGTCCCAAACATTCATTCTTCCTCGACAAACAATGCATTTTGCCTATGGCACATCACTATGGAGTCAGTGAGGAGAACTTGGCAGCAGAGCTCCACCGGGTTCCACGGTTGCTGCAGAATAAAAAGGAGCAGGGGCGTACAATAAACACTCAGGAGTTCCCATCTCTTATGCGGCCTTACAAAGACGCATTTCAGGACTTGTTTAAACTGATATCCCTTTCTTTGACCCTTCCTGTCACATCAGTGAGCTGTGGGCACAGTTTTTCATGTTTGCGTCGTCAAAAAAACTGCCTGAGTAACAGCAGTGGGGACAATCGAACAAGTGATCTGGGACTTCTTGCTATTAACTCATTCAGAACAAGGACACTGGACAGCAGCACATTTATTGACACCTTTGCCCTCGACCACAACAATGGGCATATTGTCCTGTTATGAAGACATCTGATGGTGAGTTAAATACTTTCCCTCTGTTTCTATTAATACAGTTGATGTTGCAGATAAAGTTTGTTTTCATGGTTAGCCTACATCTGGGGAACAAGCTGATTCCTTGCAACACTATAGATGTTTTTTTGTGACGCTGTGTGTGTTTATGATTTCATGGAAAAGTCAGCGATTGTTCATATGTTTATGGTGTATAATAATGATTATTTCGGATGTTGCTGAAGTTTTGTGCACGCATGTGTGTCTGCTGTGTTGAAGGTGTTTTAGATGACAGTAGGAACACATGACAACTTCCTTCATAGCACCCTCAATAAAAAGACTAGCTCCTTCATAGCACCCTCAATAAAAAGACTAGCTCCTTCATAGCACTTGCACAAAAAAATTCTGGAGCTGCCACTGCCTTGACCGCCTTCAGTTGGTCCAGAACTCTGCAGTGAGGCTCCTAACTGGAGCAAACAGAAGAGCTCACATCACTCCTCTTCTGATGTCTCTGCACTGGTTACCCGTTAACTTTAGAGTTCATTTTAGAGTCCTGACTAGAACTTTCAGGGCTCTACATGATCAAGCTCCTCCCTATTTTACGGAACTGTTAAAGCCTTATGCTCCAACCCGAGCCCTCAGGTCCACCCACCAGAACCTTCTAGAAGCTCCAAAGATCAGATACAAAAGTCGAGGTGATCGCTTTTTACAGACTGTTGCACCCTGATGTTGGAATGCTCTTCCTTTATCCTTACGTAGCATTGACAGTATGGACACTTCTAACAAACAGCTGAAAACCCTTTTATTTAAAGCTGCTTTTACCTAAACCTTTTATTTTCTTATTTTTTAACTCAAATTTGTAATCATCCTTCATTTGTTTAGCTTATTTTTTCTGATGTTAATCTATTTCTGTTTTAAGATCATTATGATTTTATGACTTTGTTTTATTTTGTTTTGATCTATGTGAAGCACTTTGTGATTCTATGTCTGTGATAAGTGCTGTATAAATAAAATGTACTTACTTACTACACAGGGTTTTAGCATTAACACATCTGTTTCAGTTTTACCTGTTATGAAGGAGTTATTCACTGGTAAGCTGGTTTGACCTCCTCTCTTTGCTGTCAGAGACACCTCGTACTGGGCATCAGGAGTGAGGCCTCCCAGGTGGTACTGGGTGTCACTGGAGGACAATTCAATCACATTTCGATTAGCTGGGTTTAAACTGGGCCAGAAGGAAATGCTGAGACCATCCACAGTGGCCACAGGCTGGAACCAAGTCACCAATGCTGTGGTTTCAGTCACGTCACGCACATCCACCTGGCTGGGGGCATCAATCCCTGGAAAAGGCAGAGACAAGTTTATGAAACACAGCATCCCTTTTCTAGCCTGGCAAGCCATCCTATAGACCCATTGCAGCGTGGGGCAGACATCTACTGTTGTCTTACAAACTGTCTATTGGAGAAAGAACAACGTGACATACTCACCGCTACAAACATCAGTCATCGGGGCACTCCACCATACATCGTCGAAGAAGACACAAATACATCCTTTTTCTAAATAAAGAACTTCAGTGCTTCTATCTGCTCTTAATTCAAAGATCCCAAGTCTAAATAGTTCAAAGCTGATACCAAAGCCATTTCAAATGAACCAACGCCATCTTTGTTGTTTCACTCCATTGCAGCACTGGTGCGAATTCCACCCATCAAAACAATAGAGTGCTGTGATTGGCAGTACACAACACTGCCCAGGCCATTGGTAGACCCCCGAGGCTACAATGGGGCATGGCTAGACTGACCTGCAAAGCAAAATCCTTTTGCTTCGGTTATGGATGGACTACATTTCTAGGCTATTCATCTTCTATTCTAATTCAGATCACATCTGAGAAAAAAACATTCACAGAAAATGATGCGCTCATTACTGTTCAGGCAGTACAGCTGGTATGGTAATATAGCTGAACACCATCAGGATTTTCAGGGTTGGACACAAAGGGATTGAATATACCACCAAATATTTGCATCCAAATTGATTCATAATCCCTGAAAAATGTTTTTAAATTTGTGTCTCATAACTGAGCCTAGGCATTGTTCAAAGGTCTCATTCACTAATATTTTCAATCAGTTTGCTGTGTTCTCTACACATTAATGTCTTGTAACTTGAGGAAAAGAGCCTCCTGTTGTGAGGGTAGAATGTCTTACTCATTAATATTCATGATATGAAAACGCCTCGCCTTCGTTTGCACTGATCATAGTTGATATAGCTACAAAAAACACAAACCCCATGTTTTGCTATTGCTAATGGTTAGCTTCTACCCGCTTAGACATGCCTTCTGCAAGCCAAAGTGGGCGGGGCCATGCACAAAAATTTTCCTGTGCCTTTGAAGAGACTGTTTCTTTCTGACCAGGGGCCTCCTTTATCAAGCTTGCTTACGCACAAAACGAGGTCGGAAAACTGCGTAAGCAACTTTCCATGCAAACTTTGGGATTTATGAAAGAAAACTTAGCGGAAAAATGTGCTCATCTTTAAGTTGACTAAGGACCTGGCTTACGCACATGTTGGACATGGAGAGCACCTGCAGTGCTGCTGCTGAGAAGATAAAATTATGAAATCCTGCAGCATTATAACTTGTACCGCTTCGTTTTCACATAGAACAAGACCCCATACACACACACACACACACACACACACGCGCGCACACACACACACACACACACACACACACACACACACACACACACACACACACACACACACACACACACACACACACACAGACACACACATGCATGCACACACACACACACACAGACACACACACAGCTTGAAGCGCAGAATATGGAATGCAGAATATCAGCAGGGGGACAGATTGAGACAGAATGTCGTGTCTGTGACAGTGTGTGTCCTGTCACTGTGACCCAATTGATCATGCGCCCTGGCTACTTGGACAAGGGAGATCTCCCTTTGGCTGACTGGTTAGTGTGCCTGACTCACACCTGGGAGTCTGGGGATCGAATCTTGATTGGACCATTTTTTTATATCCGCCACAGATCTCTCTGAAGAATTCACAGTATTGACGGCTTCAGCAATGCTGTGCCACTCCGTGGATTTTCTCTTATTAGTTTTGCAAAAGCACTTCTTTTCATTTCTCCACCTCACCCACAAGTACCTCAACTTCTGCTTCTGTGAAATAGCGCTTCCTTGATCTGCCTTGATCTACGGTCGCCATGTCATTGGCGGAGCGCTGCAAAAGCCGGCTTATATATATACATGAGATCCACAAGGCACTTTGCATTGACTATTTATGGCAGTAAGTGGGCGTGGTGAGGGTGGGATGTGACTAAAATGCAGCTGAGAAACTTTCTCATTTGTCAACGATTTATGAAGCGGAGATTGCGTGCAGCTGTGCGTACTCTGTGTTTGATAGATCACAAACCTACTTGGCGTAAGTAAAAAAATGTTTTTGCTGAGCTTAAGTACGGTTTTAGTAAGGATTCTACGCAATGTTTGATAAATGAGATCCCAGAGCATTTCCATTCCATGGGTAATGGGGTTTGAAGGAATTTTCTTTGTAGGGGTTTTCTAGCATAATGGATTTGAACTTACATTTACCTCTAAAGTTTTATCATCCCTCCGTCTTTGATAACAATTTCATAATAAACAGTGCTTCAAGTGGTATGCACAGGTGTGGAGTACGGCACTTCTAAATCAAAATGTTTTAATCTCTCAGCAAATCTCAATCTGACGTGCCAATTTAACTGGATTTCTAATCTGAGATTTTACTCATCTATTTTCTATCAGAAGCTAATGCTGGAAATACAAGATAGAGGACCATTTTCATGTTCAGCCTGCATGTGAAACTCAGTGATTGATAACATTTCAAAAACAAGAAAAAAAAAAACAGTTTATCAGTTCACTTGGTCTTTGACCCTGCTGTAAACACAGCTAAACTTTAGGTGTCGGCATTTAGGTTTCTCCACAAGGATTTCAAGTGATGTATTCCATCACTTCACCAGTACTTGTTGTCTTCATGTCTACTTTTCTATTTGAAATTTTTACCTAAAACATTTTTTTATTTATGTTGTCTAAATGGGGGAAGTCATATCCACAAAGCTCAAGGTATTAGTTTCTTTCTGAGCTTATCCAGGTGTCTGAAGTGGCTATCACACAAAATGATGCACAGCAGGAGTGTGCAACTCACTTGTGATGACATTCTTGGCAGCAGGTGGTCCACGCTTTTTGTTCTTCACCACCTCCAGTTTGACCTCATACTCCTGGCCTGGACCCAGGCCTGACTGCTCAAAAGTAGTTTCTGGGCGGCCGAGGGAGTTGAAAATCTCATCGTCTTCCTCTTTCTGTCAGTACACAAGGAAAACCAGTTTTCATTAGAAGGACCAGGCCTGGCAGCATGTGTCAGAATCAGGTAAATCCTATATTTTGGAACTGAATGAACATTGAAAGGAGCCCTGCTTGGACAAGCTTCACTCAGAAACCTAAATTCAAGTTCTAAAATACCTTAATAATCCCAGAGGGAAATTAAGTGTTGTCGTAACTCATTATTCAAAGCAAAAGTAAAAATAATAGTATTAATGATCTCAGTTGATAATCTATAAAGAGATGGCTGTGGGCAGGAAAAACATGAGCTTCCTTAAGAAGTACAGACTACTCCGTCCCTTTGTGTGGATGGCTCCACTGTTGCATCTCCAGTCCAGTCTGTTGTTCAGGTGGACACTAAGGTATTTATTTGTTTAAAGAACTTGGAAGAACTTTTCAATGAAGACTGGATCAGTGAGGGCTCATCAGTGATCAGTAGCTTTACTTACTGTTTGACCATTACCCTCATGCATACAAACAGAAATGGATTTGAGCCAGCGGTTCTGCAAAGGATCACAAAGCGTCTACAGCATCAAAGCAGCGGCAGGCTCATGAGTAAAACGACAGTCAGGACAGATGTTAAAGCTATAAAACGAATACTGTCCTCCGTATGATGGTTCCTGCATGTTGTTGGCAGCGCCCATCATAGCTGGCCTCAGGGACAAATAAAAGACACAACCGTCCACGTAACCCAGTGGGACATCTTGAATAAAACACACGTCAGATCACGGTACAGGTGAGAGTCGTGTTCCTCCCAGTGGTTCCCATCTTGCTGTTGTCTGTTGTTATTTTCACATTTCTAACTTACCTAGCTGAAACTGGTTATTGGGTGTCTGAAAGCCCCACCCACCACCCCCCACACCCCCCACCCCCTACCCCCTCCGTTTTGATGGCTCACACTCTGGATTCAAAGGACAACATGGCTGCCCCTAAAAATTTGATCATTTGACTTTTCATCGTCATGGAGAATCCGAGATGTTCTGTACCTATGTTCTCAGGTGTGTTCATTGGTTTTGAACACACAGAAACTAAGAATGGGTGTGACTACATTTAAGGTTTGACTCACCGTGTTTCTGAAGATGAGATTCCAGCCATCAAAAGGAATGTCCAGTGGGTCCCATTGCACTTCCACTGAGGTTTCTCGCACTGATTTAAACTTTAGACCTTCAGCCTCAGGAAGATCTAAATGTAGAACGAAGACAGTTTCACTAGTTTCCTCTACAATTTTTGAGCTGCAGTCAGAAATACCAAGGAGAGTGTTGACTTACGCATTGCCACTTTAGCACTAACAGGAACACTCCTCTTGTTGTTTAAAACAGCAAAGACACTGATCAGGTACTCCACACCAGGTTCAAGTTCCCGAACAGTGGCTTCCTTCTGGTTGCCAGGTACAAGAAGCTCAAGCTCCAAACCTCCAGGAGCCGTGGGTGCATAGGTGATCAGGTAGTCTGTCACACGCATTTCGTTCTGCCATGACAGGTCCACAGTTTCTGGGGTAACCTCTAGTATTGTAAGGTCCTTGGGTGGTGAAACTGAGGAGAGATGTTGACAATCATTTATCAGTAACACTTCAGATGTGCTTCTTCTGTAGGAAAATTTATGTGGCAAGGTGGAGAAACGAGGGCCCGGGCGGGATTCGATACCCAGACTCCCAGGTGAGAGTCGCGCACGCTAACCAGTAAACCAAAGGGACATCCCCTTGGCCAAGTAGCCAGGGCGCATCATCAATCGGGACACTGTGACAGGACGCTCACACTGCCACATTACTGTGGGCGGTCACAGAAGACAACAATTCAAACTGTTGATGGAACATTCAAAAAGAGAATAAAGTATCAACGTCAAAACCTACGTGCAAAAAGAAACCTTCTAAAAGGGACCAGGTCATCACAAGTTTTCCAGCATCAACTGAAAATGAATAAATTTGCACCTCAAGTGCAACGTTTTCCATTCAAAGACTTTGGCTTTATTCTCTAAATAACGCAACTGTAACATCCAAAAGAGTCAGTTTTCACCTATATATTGATCAAAATTATAACCTTTCATCTACAGAAATAAATCTATTTGGCCTTCCAGAACCAGAAGGATCTGCTCAGCGCGTGTTGACATTCCATGAAGACAAAACATTCAAACAAACATTCTCTCCCAAGGTCCTACGCTCTCTGCGTGAAAACCAGACGTCAACATTCTTCACTCTGAACGAGTGACGACTCCATGATGTTATAAGTTAAATAATCTGTAATGAATGAACAAGATGTTTAAATCAAATGTTTGAATAATTTGTGCTTACATCAATGAATTTAAAATGATTATTGTTCTTACAATGACCCATTTATGTCACAAATCACTATATATGTGTTTGATTTAACAAGTTAATCGTTGTTTACACTCATACACGTTACAATAAGACACACATATTAAGGTTAAAAACATTTTTGTATCTGAAGGAAGGCGTGGCTGTCTGAGGGATGCTGGTAAATACTCAGAAACGTGTCAAATTCTGATTTGCCAAACTTGGCCAGAACTAATAACAAAGTAGTTTATTAAAACAAGAATTACTTCCCGAGTAATTCAGTTTCCCGCTGACTCCCGATTCAGGAAGCCTCTTTTGAAACAAACTCCTTTGATCTTAAGTCAAAAGCCTTTCTGCAACGCTGCGAGTGATAACAGACACAACAGCTCTTTGCAGAGCTACTTCACACCCAATCTGCAGACCCGGGTTGCATCTCATGGCCGGGTAAGCTGAACTCAGAGGAAGCTACTAATCTCTGAGTATCGTGGTTTCGACGTCCGGTGACCTCACCACTCTGACCACAATCCTCCAGACCGCGGGGAGCAACTCATACACAGGTATCGTAAGGATGAGCAAGGATGAGCAAGATGGCGCCCATGACCGGCTGCGTGTCTGCTCAGCTCCCAACCTTTTTTGTTTTTCTATTGTATTCTTGTATTTTTTCCATATGCAGTGCCGATTCTCTGCTAGTGTATGATCGGGACTTCCTGCTCTCGATCCGCTCTAGAATGGATGATTTTCAGAACTCTAATGCGGGACACCTTTTTCCACCGCCGCTGGAGACTGACGCGAACCCAGCTTCCGGGCTTGTGCTGCCCGTCGGTTTACCGCTGCCCCGGAGACCGTGGAAAAAGAAGCGGGGGAAACGAGGCGGCTTCTTTGTTCAGCTCCGAAGGATCCGGCGTGGCGAAGCCATATCGGAGCGCTGCTCCGTGACTGTGATGTCCCGGATCCATCGGCATCTCAATCGAGTCGAGCTGATCTCGCTGCTACCGGGAGGACATGGAGCTGAATGTTACATGGATGTGTCTGAGGTGTGGATGTCCGGCCAGTTGGGAGCTCACGGAGCTGAGAGCTGCGCGAGTGCGTGGGATGTGGGGATGATTCTCCAGCTGGGTGCTCACGGAGCCAAGCGCTGTATGCGTGCTTCGGAACCGAGGATGATCCGGCGGCCGACCGCTGCTGACCAGCTTGCGGCACACAATCGGGGGAGATGTGGAGATCGCCTAATCACATCAGATTACTGCGTATGGGGAAAGGAGCGGTGCTTTCGGAGTTCCCCTGATGCTCGAGGTGGGTGCTTGGTGCCTGTTGTTTCTATGGGTTCCACCGGGTTGCCCTCCCGCTCTCGTTTTCACCGCTCTCGTTTTGGACGGCACAATCAGCGGGGAATAAATCTGGCCAACCTACAGTATATTGCAAGATTTGATGGAGCCGGACTTTCTCTTCCATCGGGAAAGCAGTCGACTCGCTTTGCACTGATCAACGCCAGATCGGTTGGAAATAAAACTTTTATTCTGAAGGAATTCTTCCTGAACAATAGCTTGTCTGTTCTATGCGCCACTGAATCATGGTTAACCCCTGGAGATTCAGCTGCTATTGTTGAAATGTTACCTCCTGGATGCTCCTTCATTAACATTCCAAGAGCACAGCGCCGGGGCGGAGGTCTATTGACTATATTCAAATCAGATCTTGTCTGCACACCGATTACCCATCAATCAACTCCATTGTCTTTTGAATTAAGTTTGTTTGAATTGGGACGTTCCCCTCCATTGTTATGTGCACTCATTTACCGTCCACCACCCTATAACAAGGATTTTCTTAATGAATTTGCAAACTTCCTGGCAGACGTCTCCTGCAGATATGGAAAAATACTCTTGCTGGGTGATTTTAATATTCATGTCTGCTGTCCTGACAAACCTTTGGTAAAGGATTTCTTAGATCTTATTGACTCATTTAGCATGTCCCAACGTGTTAATGGACCCACTCATGGTCATACACACACACTAGACCTGATTTTTTGTCATGGGCTGCAAATTAGTGATCTTGGCATTCTACCTGCAACTTTTTCTGATCACTCACCAGTTGTGTTTAATATGAACTTAGACTCTGCCTCTCGTGTTGAGTGTTTCCGTCCCAGCTTCTCTCGAACAATCAGACCCAATACTGCTGCACATTTTGCTGCTATTCTTGCTTTGAATTCAGCTCCATTTCAATCTACTGATGAATTTACTGTTGTTGAGGGATTACTTCATGCGCTTGATTCATCCTGTCTGGCTGCTTTGGATATTGTCGCTCCATTAAAATCAAGGCGAAATACATCCCGACCTGACCCATGGCTGAACGAGCAAACTCGTTCCATGAGACAACATGCCAGAAGACTGGAACGTAAATGGATAAAAGACAGGCTTACTGTATCCTTTGAATCCATGAGAGAGGCGTGGTCTCAGTACCAAAGAGCAGTCAGAGGCGCAAGAAATCGATTTTTTGCAAGCATCGTAACGGCTAATTCTAATAATCAAGGTATGTTATATAAAACTATGAATGCAGTGCTTTCACCAGTTACAAAACTATTTTCCTCTGCGTCTGCTGACTTGTGTAACCAAATCCTGCAGTTTTTCTTAAATAAGATTAGTGTAATCAGAGCTCAGATTCACCAAACCAACCATGTTCCTGATTCAGTCATTCCCCCTCATGTGCAACTTCAAAGCTTTCAGCCCATCTCTCTGCCCTATCTAGAAAAAACTGTTGCTGCCATGAAACCGTCTGGCTCCCCAGAAGATGTTATCCCACCTCGTCTCCTGAAAGAGGTTTTTCCTTTCATTAGCCATAATGTGCTAGACATCTTAAATAGTAGCTTGACATTGGCTGAAGTTCCCTCTGCCTTTAAACACGCCGTTCTTCAGCCAATCTTGAAAAAACCTGGTCTCGACCCCACTGATTACTCTAATCTCCGACCAATTTCCAAATTACCGTTTTTATCTAAGGTCCTTGAGAAAATAGTGTATGAACAGATGCTGACACATCTAAATGACAATCAGGTAATGGACATTTTTCAATCTGGTTTCAGAAAACAGCACAGCACTGAAACTGCTCATGTTCGGGTGTTTAATGACATTTTTCTCGCTTTAGATTCAGGTTTCCATGTGGTTCTGCTACTTTTGGATCTATCAGCAGCATTTGACACGATCGATCATAACATCTTGATCACCAGACTTCAGACTTGGGCTGGCATTTCTGGTTCAGCCCTAGATTGGTTCAGGTCATACTTTTATAACAGGTCCGCTAGAGTCATGTTGGATGGCTGTTCATCCGAGTCACAACCACTCCGTTGGGGTGTCCCACAAGGTTCAATACTCGGCCCGTTACTATTTAACCTCTATATACTGCCCTTAGGAGCCATTTTCAGAAGGCACGCTGTCTCATACCATCTTTACGCTGATGACTGTCAGATCTACTTTTCATTCAAGCCAACTCAATCAATGCAAGTTCTGTCTGATTGTATCGATAATGTTAAGCTTTGGCTTGCTGATAACTTCCTCCATCTGAATGACTCCAAAACAGAAGTAATCGTTTTTAATCCTCACAGCATCCCGGCTACTCATCTACCTGACCTCAACTATCTCTCACCTAATGTCTCCACTGTAATTTCCAACCTTGGAGTTAAAATAGACCAGGCTCTGAAGATGGATGCTCAGGTCAATAACACAGTTAAATCATGTTTTTACCACCTCAGGCGTATCTCTAAACTTAAGCACATCCTGAGTGTCCGTCTTCTCAAATCAGTAGTCCACACTTTCATCACTTCACGGCTGGATTACTCCAACTCCTGCTTATACGGCATCAGTAAAGCAGCTCAATCTAGACTTCAGCTAGTCCAGAATTCAGCAGCTAGGTTCCTGACTGGAGTTGACAGAAGACAGCACATTACACCAATTCTAAAATCTCTCCACTGGTTGCCCGTTCATCTCAGGATCAATTTCAAAATCATGCTTCTCACTTATAAATCCCTGAACAGTCAAGCTCCTCCATATCTGTGTCAACTCGTCCATTACTACAATCCGCCTCGTGCTCTCAGGTCTGAAGATAAGCTCCTCCTAGCTCTTCCAAACGCACGTCTGAAAAGCCGTGGAGAAAGGGCTTTCTCTGTCTGTGCTCCCAAGCTGTGGAATGCATTACCACTACTAGTGAGGCAAGCACCAACAATTAGCATTTTTAAATCTCGCATGAAAACTCACTACT